AGATCTGTGTGCAATTTCCAGAGGAATTTCTATTTTAACAGTGTTCCAACCATAGCGGTAATACTTATGACAACCGCAGCAACAACGACTCATACTGATCAAGGATTTAACCTTTGCCAGGCAACGATTTAATCCTTACAAGAACTTTCCAGGCTGGTACGGTCATTTACCAAGGACGCACGGATGCTGCGGGTCTTCAGCTGGGAAGCTATCATGTTCAGGTGGCACAGCACAGAGGTGCAGGCCTTGCGGGTGGCATTTCAGCAGCCTCTTCCCCTTTGTGAAGGAGATCCATGTGGGCCCTCGAGACAGGCTTCCGAGCAATTGCTTCCCTCCAACAAGAGACGATAACTCCACCTAGGAAATGATCCCATTTCAGCAAGTCCTGGGGAGGCCATTGCTGTCCTAAGGCTATTCTTTATGATATAAAAGTCTCACCCTCCCCCTTCCACCCTTAATGTTTCTAATTTGAGCCCTTCTGGTCCCTGTGGAGCCTTTAAATGCTTCAAGTGCAAGCCTGTTGCCAAAGCTAGCCTGTCACCCCGCACTGTTGCCGAATATTGAACAAACATTCAGGCAGCATTGGGTTCTCCCAGAAGCCCTTTGTTTCCTGGATGAGGGCAAGCGGTGCCATCGCCTCCTGCCGAAAAGTGCTGGCTGCCCTCCCAACAAGGAGTTGTCACTTCAACTGAGGCTTTTTTTTTTTTTTTTTTTTTTTGGTGGTGGCAACAAAATAATACCCAGCAGGAATTTGGGAGGAGAAAAAAGAGAGTTCACTTGGCAGGTTCTCAAATGAATGGGTTGTAGTGTCATTGGAACTGAATTGGGCCTGAAACCAGACATGATCCTATTTTGGAAGCATTGTTCAGAGTGATGGGAAATGCGAACAGAGGATAAGTCTCTTCAGAAATGCTCTTTATCGTTGGCCCGTTGAAGATGACCTGTTTTAACTGAACTCTCCCATCCCCTCCATGGCAGCAGCCTGTGTGAAAACCTGGAAGAGCTCAGAACAATCAGCAGATTGGTCAGCTGTTCGCCTGCTCACCTTTCAAGAGAGAAAGCAACTTTTGCAACTGGGAGAAGTTGTCCCTTGATTACAAGCCATCGATGAACTCAGTCTTGAAATTCACAAGTCCTTGGTCTTGGTCATAGCAATGCTTTGATAAGATGACACAGTGATCAGAGTGTAAAAATACATTCAACCAGTACTCATTGGAAATGTTATTGAAAGTCTGCTGTGGTTCAGGAAGTATGTAAACTGCATTTGGGGACCAGTAGGGCTTTGCCCTCATGGAGCTTACAGTCTGGAGACATTAACAGGTGATATATAAAGACATTAACAGGTCTGGAGACATTAACAGGTGATAAAGAAGAGCATATGCCAAGGCAGAGAAGAAAGGCATGGGACTTACGCGTAGGACTTAGAGGCCAAAGTGGCTGAAAATAAGAATTAGGAACAGGATGCAGAGTTCAGCTGGAGAGGCAGAATGGCTGTCTGGATCCCACATGTGCCTTCTTAAGGATTTTGTTCCAGACCCTAAGATCAGTGAATGGCAAGGGAAGAACTTGAAGCAGGAGAAGACTATGGTGTTTATCTCCTAGGAAAATTAATTTAGCTGTAGACTGACATTGGATCAAATGCAGTTAGCTGTTTCAATTGGAATATTCACAAAGAAATAACTCAGTGGCGGATAGGTTTCCCTATTGTAATTCTCCTGCAGACCATGTATTAGCATCACACAATCAATCTTAAGAAGATCTTTTTCCGTCAATGTGCAAGGGACTTAGAGGTCAGCCCCCTTCTCCACTGAGGTCTTAAGTTCCTCACTTGTGAAACGATGGAGTGGGCCAAGTGCCTTCCAATCGCAAAAGCAGACATTAAGTTCAGCTGGGATTGCAATACTGCTCCTTGAGTGCAGTGTTCAGCCTTACTATGGACTGTGAACTCCACTGTTGGACTGATTGAAAAGTTTGAAGTTTATTGCACAAAAGCAGACCAGCAAAGATCTGTAGCTTGCTTTGCTGTGAATGGATAGTTCTCTTTACTCCAGTGACTATGGATGGTTTGTTGGTTTGATCAACATTATCTTTAGCCATGGAACCATATTACATAGCCTTCCAGTTGAATTGTATGCATATGCAGGTGGTGTAAAGGGCAGGTCACCTGTGCTTTAAAATCTGAGACTAAAAATCGCAGTGTAATGATGGAGACTGGGGCCCTGGTGAAAGGGTCACTGACTTTCTGTGTAACCTTGGAAGTCACTTTCCTTTCAGGACACAATTTTCCCTTGTTTAAAATGAGAAGTTTGATTGAGGTGAGTGTTTTTAAAGGTGTGTATGTATGTGTGTGTGTGTGTTTTCCCAGTAGTATTTGAAAGCTATTATAGGCTAGCACTCCCCCGAAAGGGTCAGATAGGTGGATTACAGAATAGGCCTTCCCCCTTAGGTGGTACATTACCACATGGGAGTAAGCTTGCGGCCCTGTGGGCCTGAGGAGGAACTTAAAGAATGGTCTAGATTTTGGGCTGTCTTCAAAAATAACTTTATCACAGATGCCTGTCTTACATTAGGGCCAACATTCAGCGGCAAGGTTTTGTCCTATGAAGTCACCCCTTCCTCCTCATGTGACTGCCTCCCCTTGATCCCCTTGGTCCTTGAGCCCAGGATATGAACCCCTGGATTGTCCCATCTATTTTAGAATTTATAGTGATACAAATTCTTCGTATGTGTTAGTGTTATTTAATTTGGCTCTTCTCTCCTACTAATCTGTCTGATGGTAATTTGTTCATCAAGTCTTAAGAACCCAGAGAGGTGAGGGAATTGAGGCTAAGTTTCCTCATCTGTAATGGAGGACTAGGTCAGCATTTCCAAATTTCTTGTAAAGGGCCAGATAATAAATGTTTTAGGCTTTGTACATTGCATAATGCTTTTTGCAACTTCTCACCTCTGCCAAGGTGCTTAACACAATATATAAGTGCATAAGGGTGGCTGTGTTCCAATAAAACTTTATTTACAAAAATAGACAGGGGACTGAATTTGATCCTGGATCATACTTAACTGATCTCTGGGTCAGCATATCAGCTCTCTGCTCCCCAAAGTCCTTGCAGCTCAGACTCCTTCAGCTCTCTTCCCTGAATGTTCACCCCTCCCAAGTTTGAAGTCACCTTCTTGAAAACCATCCCTTTGACCTGAGATTCCAAAAGGCATCATCATCTTCTGATGTTTCTCTGTATAAGACCATGTCTGTCTCCCCAGTTGCTGAGGTGCCTTCTTCCCAGCTTTGTTTTGTTTATCTTAGTAACTACCTTCTTTAATCCCTCTGAAGGATTGGCTAGCTGGAATTTGCCTTGTCTTCCTCCCCCAGAGCCTTTGATCTGATGCTCATAAGCATTTGCTGACAGCCAGACAGAAAAGGTGGAGCCCAGATCCCAGGCCCCAGGGCCCAGAGAGTAATGAATGAAGGCTGCGTTTATTTGTATTTCTAATTGGCAAGCCCATTTCCAGATCAGCTGCATGTCACTGCAAGCTGAGAGCAAGAGCGGGAGACAGCGCTCCTTTTCCTCCCAAACCTTGGTGCCAGCGCCCCAGCTTCCAGTGAGGCAGGAGCTTGCCTTGACTTCACCAGGCTTGGAAGAAGTTGCAATTTGGGATGAGCTCAAAATGCCATCTGTTCTTCCCATTAGTACAGGGCCACCCTGTTTGGCCACTCAGACTCTGTATGCACAGCTTCCAGGAGGCCCTTTGCATCCTCTGTGATGTAAACAGAGCCCTCTGAGTTGTGCAAATCACCTTGCTTCTTCCAGCTTTTTGAGATAGCTGTTGACCTTAATCTTCTTCAGAAAGCTTAAGTAGAAGATCCATCTGTAAAAAAAATATACAATGGTCTGTTGGAAGCTGAAATGTGGATTTAGAGTTCCACCGGCTCAGTTTCCCTCCTGCCCTTTGCAAACAGCTGCTGAGGCCTCTAAGTTCCTAGGAAGAATCTTGAATCCTATAGACTAGGTCATGAATGCCTTTGTAGCCATTTAGTTTCATGATCACTTTTGTCACCTAAGTGTCCAGAACGTCCCTAGCACACGTGAGACACTGAAAGGAGCACAGGAGCAGGAGACCTGGTCGCTGGTCTCCACGAGCTGCCAGTGTGGTTGAGGTCAGCAGAAAATGGGATGGGACAATGAGCTTAATAAAAGAAGTTCTTGAAGCAGTAATACTTACTCAGAAAAGAAGGGCTAGGCCAAAATGGAAGACTTCGACTTCTTCGAGAGAATAGCAGTGGAATGGAGCATTGGCAGATGGTAAAGGTTTGGAGAGGTAGTTGGGGACTAGTGAGCAGAGGCCCCGGGGAGGAGACACTGGCAGTGTGAATCAAGACAGCCCAGGAGAGCACAGATCTGAGTGTGCACACAAAGGAAGAAAACAGTTTGAACAAGGGAATACATGAGCACAGGGAGAAAAGGGGAATGTCTTTCACACAGGTCCACTTTCTGTTTCATTCACAGCTTATAATTCAGTCAGTGGTATTAGCCCCACTTTATAGAATTAATCCCTGTGGACTCTTGGACATTCAGGCTTTCTCAAGTTGTAGAGCTGTTATCAAGTAGGATCAAGATTTAAACTGAAATTAACTTGACGACAAAACTTGTGTTTCCCCACTACATGACATTTCATGGAAAATACAGAACCGAAGCAACGTTTTCTAAGAATTTGTGTACATTGACAATTGATAAAGGACTTCTTGTTGATAAATACTATCCTGAAATATTTCTCACAATATTTTCAAAGAATCCTCTAATTCATTGACAGTGAACCCCAGAGAAAGCAAGAGTAAAACAAAATGTCATTCTGGTCTCTGAACCTTGAGGCTAGTGCTCTTTCCAAGGTGTTGTGAACAAACCATTGTATCATGGTTTCTTCCTTACCAGTTCCTCAGCATGTCAGGTCTCTGTGGTTTCCAGAGTCTCACCTTTTGAACAATACTGAATTCATCTCTTCCTTTCCAGAGACCACTGAGCTGGGCAGCAAGAAAGAACTCAAGTCCATGCCCTTCATCACCTACCTCTCAGGTCTGCTGACAGCCCAGATGCTGTCAGATGATCAGCTCATCTCAGGTGTGGAGATCCGCTGTGAGGAGAAGGGCCGCTGTCCCTCTACCTGCCACCTCTGCCGCCGACCAGGCAAGGAGCAGCTGAGTCCAACACCAGTGCTGCTGGAAATCAACCGGGTGGTTCCCCTTTACACCCTCATTCAAGACAATGGAACCAAAGAGGTGAGATTGCATGGCACAGTCTCTAAGTCCAGTCCAGGGCCCACCTCCTTTTCCGCCTGCCTTGTGGGCTGTATGTCCACGGATTTGCCATCCTCATCATGGTGATGTGTGGCATGTGTGGATTCCAAACTGTGCTTTCAGTACTTAATTGTGCTAGCCCAACAAATCCTCGGATCTAAGTGCCTTTATGCAACATCTTATTTTTGGAGCGGGGGGGTGCAGCGTCCCAAATAAGTATTTTTGATTGGTGGTGGCATTTCTCTGTTGAGTGGTTTGGAGACCCAAACTATTCCATCTGGTGCTCCCTGCATTTGATGGTTCCACAGTTTCCGTGGAAAGATCACACTTGAGAGATCTCAACGGGCTAAGCTTAGAAGTGGCAGATACCATCTCAGTTCCCATTCTGTTGACTGAACCCAGCTATTGGGCACAGCTGTCTATAACACTGCAGTTAAGGTGGGAAATGTTGTCTATGCCTTACCTGGGAGCACAAGGCATTGATTTGTTGGCAACCTCGCAGCCCTTACCTGAATAGTATACTTGGGTCATCTCAGAAACTGCTCTCCATACTTATGGTTTACATACAAATATTGGATAGATTCATATGAAACTGCTGCCATTTGACCCTTTTTTCTTTAGAAAATGGCACCTCCACATGGTCATGCTAATGTCATGCCCTTTCACAGGTAAGGAAACCTGAAAGGCGCTTAGTAACTTATTCAAAGTTGGTCTGCTCCACAGAATCTATCTGCTTGATTGTAAAATGATCTCTCATCTTCTTCCTCTTTCTGTGCCAATGACAGCATGTCAGGGCTAAAGGGTTCTGATGTAATGACTTGAAATGACTTGGTTAAAGGGATTGCAAGCTTGCTTTCATGGACCACCCCTTAACAGATTCTTCTTTCAGGAACCCCACTCCAGAAAACCAGGAATAGAGATGCCTTTCCCTCAGTGACAGGCAAGCGAGGTGGAAAGCACCATTATTGGCTCCCACTCTTCCCTCTGCAGCAACCCCCAGACAGACCTTGGTCTCCAAAACATACAGTCTGGTAGATCACTGACCAAGTTGAATAGGAGTCGTGAATGATGCACCCATCCCACAGCATCACATTGAGCTGAGTGAGTAAGTTCTGGAGGAGGCTGAGTGGTCAGTGGGGCTTCACAGAAGACAGAGAGGGGAAGTAACCAAGTGGGGGAGAGAGCCAGTGGAAGGGGGGTGAGACAGGAGAACACGGTCTGCACAGAGATCAAGAGACATTGCCCGTGACTGAGACCAGGAGTGGAGGGAGAGCAGAGACATGGCCATAGAGTGAGAAGGAACCCGGCTACTGAAGGTGTGGTCGACCAAGTCATGGCGTTTAGATGCCACCTCTAGGGAATGGCACATCGAAGATACATGGCTAATAGGACACTGATAGAGTTAGCTTTTGTGGCAGGAATAGTCTTCTGTAAACAATCCCCTTGACCATTGTTGGGGGAACAGTTAAATTGGATACAACAGACTCCAACAGACAAAATGAGTGAGGCAGAATGCCAATTATATAGGAGATGGATGAGCACAATAGCAGATAAAGAAAATAAGTCCCAGAGAGAGATTGTATAGCATGATAACCTCTTGTTTTAAGAAAAGCCCTCCCACACACCAAACCCACCTTCTTTTAGCAAGAAATGTAGTTGCCATAAACGACTTAGAAAGAGGGTGCAGGAAGTGACACAGTGGCTCCAGGATGCTGGTGGTCTTGAGTCAGCAGAGGCAGGCATGAGGAAACCTTCGTCACAAGTGGATGGTCACATGGCTAGCTCGCATTTGGGGTGGTGAACTTGTGGGAGTTTATTAAAGTATTAAAACTTGCTGACACTAACTGGATGACCACACGGGGCCTAATCCTGTGTAGTGCAGCAGTGAACGTGAGTCATGACCCAAGCTTTGTGAATATTCTAAGTCTGTGCATCCGAGGTTCCCAAACTCACAACGTAAAAGCCATATGTGTATATGTCTCCACACCTCTGGCCGTAGGGTGAAATTTGACTGTAGAAATATAAGGGTGGAAGCAGGCAGTCCCACGAAGAGGTTGTTGAAGCTTCCAGTGGATCTCAGAGGGATTCTACTCATGTTGTGGTGTTGTGTTGTGTTGTGTTGTGTTGTGAGCGGAGCTCTTCAGGACTCAGTGAATTGGGGTGCTGGATATCTCCCATGTTTGCTCTGTGCTCTTGCCCCCAGGACTGCCTTTCTGGGCCAATGTGGTACCCTAGGAGCTCTGAGGCAGCACCTTTGTGCTTCATTCTGGCCACTTGGGTTGTAGAAAGAGCAGGAGTTAGAGACCCTATGTCTGGTTTCTGTGTCAGCAGCCCCAAGCATTTCCCAGTAGATTCCTTGGGAATCCAGGAGGTCTTAGTGAGGCTGATTCATAGAGTATCATCAGAGAAGCCTGAAAACAGTCACTAGATGTCTCTGTCCTCCTTTTAGCAGATCTTGGGGAATGAGCTGGATTCATTCATTAGGTGTTTGGGGGCATCGCCTGTATGCAAAGTGCCATACCTCCAGAAGCAAAGAGTATGACAAAAAGGGTCTTTTTTTTTTTTTTATGGAGCTGACAGATGTGTGAAGGCAGATGATCATGAATCAAGCACAGAAATAAGCCAAGACTGTTTAAAGTGCCGAGAAGGCCAGGCTGGTGGTTCAAAGTGTGTCACAGAGTTCCCATGAGGTCAGGGGAGGTGTCCTCAGGAAGTAACCTGAGAATGGAGTTCCTGGGGGCCAGGTCCATGAAGTGCATGTGGGGAACTGAGTGTGGGTGCAGGGAGGAGGAACCTGAATGCATTCCAAGTCAGTGCCCTGGCTCCAGCAAAGGCCTGAAGAATGAACAAACAGAAGCTGAGTAAGAATCAGGTGATAGGAACCAAGACTTGGGGTGGAGGGGAGCTCCACAGCAATGCTAAGGCAAGCTCAGGCCAGGCAGAGATGTGGAAGTGGCAGCTGTGTGGAGTTTGGCTGCCAGGTGGAACCATGGAGGAGTTAGGGCAGACAGATAGGCGTGGTGCTGGCTTCTCTCCAAGCTCTTCTCCTCATTGTCACTTCTACAAGGAACCGTTCCAAGCAGGATGATGTGGCTCGCTTCCTTCTCCCCTCCCCCACCAAAGCCCCTGGACAGACCTGGTTACTTTCACAGGAGCCTCTGGGTCACCGTGCACTGTATCTCCAAAGGAACCCAGTTGTGGGAGATGTGGCTGGACAGGCCCCCTGTAGGTCTGGAAGGGACCCTGGAGCAGAACAGGCCGCTGACGTGAGAATAGAGCAGCCTCTCTCTTGTGTTCATCACCTGTTTTTCTGCCTCTGCTTCTCTATCTCTCGTGGCCTCTCCCTCTCTCTGCCCTTCTCTGCTGCTCATGCAGAGAACACCTAGATCTAACACAACAAGACCTGGGCTCTGACACTGAGTCACAGCAAGGCAGAGGCAAGTCCTTTTTTTCCTCCATGAAAAAAACAGAAGTGGAGTAAGTCTTTCGCGAGTTTCCCTCAAGAGACTCTGCCAAGTGGACTCAGTTTAGGCCATGTGCACCACCCCACTGGGACTGGAGTCTACCTCCCTCCCCCAGGCGCTGCATGCTGCTGCCTCACCTCTCCACACCTCACTTTCCACATCTGTAAAGTGTAAGTTCATGACCCAACCTCTTGGGGCATCAAACACAATCATGGCTGCCTCACCCCTGCTCCATAGCATATGAAGGGCAAGTGTCTCCTAGGATAATGATAAAAATACTCATCTACATTGCCCCCCACACACCAAATAATCCAATTTAAAAAGATTAAAATAAAAGTCAGCTGGCTCCTTTGTTTTCATTGCTATCTCCTCTTCTGGGTAGCCTTAGCTTTGCAGATCTGTGACATGCTAGAGATATGGTATATAGAAGATCTATATTTTGTGTAGGATTCGTCACCCATAAATAAACCAGGGCAGATGACAAATGGAGACTGTTTTAGGAGCATTTCGTTGGTGCTGGAACTAGTACGTTGTAGGTAACGGCCACCATAGATACAGTTGCACAACTGAAAGTATCTCCCTTCCCTGTAGACTGTCAAAGCAGAATGGACCTCACTTGTATGTGAGTGCTGTTGCCTCACTGCGCCATTTGAGTTGCTGAGTGCACTTCTGGGTCCCTTTGTGTCAGCAAGAGAGTCCGATTTGCCTGGGATAGAGGAAGTGCTGGCTTTTGATTCTGGACAGGATCAGAGTGCTCTGGTGAGCCTTGGGAGTCATGGACAGAAGCCCCTGTAAGGGTGGGTTTCCTTGGATGCAAGGGGAAGGATGGTGGCTTCTGTCTGAAGGGAATTTTCACTGCAGTTTTGAATAAGCAAAGCAGGAAAAAGTTCTTTATGATGGAGAAGTTGATCAATACATACATCTCCTTCCACCTCTTAAATGGTCCTCAGATAGCTCAAAGCCACAGAGCTTGGCTAAATATGATTAGTGCTTAGATGTACAAGTCCTTGTGTCATTAATTTAGCTTTCCTGTGAAGACGAGGAGACTCCAAGTTGGGGAGACAGAAATGTTATGCTAAAGAGCCAGACTTAATCTCATTTCTGTCTTTTTACACATTTGTAAAACCTATCATTATCCCTTATCTGTCTGGGAGTTTTCTTGGGAAGAACTAGACAATGAGCACCACCCGGAATCTGAACTAGGCTCTGCCCTTGAATATTATATGGCATTGAACATGATTGCATCTAGTGTTTTGGTCCTGGCTATCACCTCACAGTGAGAAATGTAGGCTGACTTCATTCACTGTCTCCTTTTGTGCTGCAACAAATCCAACTTCCAGCATGAAAATAAGGGAGCTACTTTGAGGTTGGAAGAGGCAGAAGATCTTGTGATCTGCAGTGTACATTCCATCCAAAAACACTACCAGTGTTTTTATTCCTGAAACTAATATTGGGAAGAGAAAGAGACATATCTTGGCGTCATCCCAATCACACAGTGTTTATGAGGAGAGATGGATA